ACACACACACACACACACACACACACACACACACACACACACACACACATATATATAAGTTGGGATTCTTATGGATAGTCCCAGCCTTGTATTTTGATGCTAGTTCAACTTTGCTGGGAGGGGCTGCGGAGGAGGAGTGAGTCTGTACACAGGTGACTTCTTGTGAACCTTCTGTCCAATTAAATTTGTAAAAAAAAAAAAAAGGCTAGAGCCAGTGATTGGGCAGAAGGGGAGGTGGAGAAAAAGTCTTAGGGGAGGAGAGAGGAAGAGGAAGTCGACAGAAGAGGAAGTCGACGGAGGAGCAGGAGGAGGAGAAGCACGTGGCCTGGAAAAACTGCAAATTATAAGGGATCTCATAGCTGGGGAATAGAGTAGTGTAATGGTAAATCTGCCCAATCTAGGCGTGCAGTTTATATCCATAATTATTGAGTGTGTTTTCCTTGACTGGTCTTATTTGGGTTGGAGATTTACTACAACAATCAATCTCTTTATTTAGGTAAATGCTAAATTTCTCCATATACAAAAGTAAAAAGTAATTCTCATGTGGTAATATAAACTGGTTTAAAGTATAGGTTGTAATGTAATTATAGAATGAGCAGGTTATATATATTTAGTTTTGGAGGTATGCTCTTGCAAAAGGAACTACTAACCAAAGGAATGTTTGTCAGTCATTATAGCACCATGTCTTTTCTGATATTTTCCAGGATAGTGTATATTATGTGTGACAAACATATTGGCACTTATAACCTAGATCTCTCTTTAGAAACTGTCTACAGTATATTTGACTAGGTAAAATGACTCTCCCAGACCTACCTGATGCTTATCTTGTTACAATCTTTCCTTTTAACACCAGCAGGACAACTTATCACAAAATAGCATGTCAGCAGCAAAGAGATCTTAGTGTTAGCAAAGAGCGTCTCATCTAGCAGAGAAATACACTGGAGCCTCTGTGGCTAGGGGACAGAACAGACAGGGCCTACTCGGTTGTGTCTGATGTTAATAGTGCCTGAACAGCATAAAAAAATATTATTTAGCCATATGCATTTAGAAATTCAACAAAACAAATTTATTCATCAAAAATCTGGGTAAAATATAATTTGTAGTATTTGACCATACAGTAATTTCATCAGGCTTTTTTATTCTTTAGGCTTTATTACATAATTTTCATTCTTGATGAAGATGCTTTCTACTTATTATAAATATTAATATTTGCTTAATAGAAACTACAAAACACAACTCTGTTCAGTTCTATGTAGAGATACATTTGGAAGACTATAGTAAATAGCTTTAAATTATAATTGTTTTTGGATTTTTTTTTCAAGACAGGGATTTTCTGTGTAGCCCTGGCTGTCCTGGAACTCACTCTGTAGACCAGGCTGGCCTCGAACTCAGAAATCCACCTGCCTCTGCCTCCCAAGTGCTGGGATTAAAGGCATGTGCCACCACTGCCTGGCTTTTTTGTTTGTTTGTTTGTTTGTTTGTTTGTTTTGTTTTTGGATTTTCTACACTCATTTTTGTTCAGTTTTAGATTTGTCATAATGTCATATCTTTTAATAAATTGAGGTTAACCCAAATCTAAAATCTAGAAAACTACATATCAAATATTAAATTTACAAATATACTCTCTAAAATGATTTGTCAACTGTTAAGTATTATCTTACAAAAAAATCAATTAATTGAATTAAGTAAATAAAAAGGTTCTATGGTGTCATAATAAAAGAACATTCCATTAACACTGAGTGATAAATTAGTTAAATGTCATTTACAAACAGAACATCTTAAATATCCAATTTATGAAACTTTAGAAGTAACAAAATGACCCCTAGGATACAGCAATGTAGCTATTCCTGAAGCAGCTTGAAAGTACTCAGTACACACAACTCAGATATACAATTCACAAGATTTGGGGAGAAGCGAAAAGATTTTACAATAAAGAATTCAATTACAAATGATGAGAAAGTCAATAAAAACTGAGTCCAGATAAACGGCAAGAAAGGAAATGGTCCACTTCTGAATGTTAAAAATGTTCTGGTCTGAAGATCCACGTACTACTTCAGGTTATAGCTTAGTGTCTTCCACTCTTGTTTTCATATAAAATCGGGCCTATGAATATTTCCAAGTTCAGACTCTCAGAAATAAATAGACTTGAACTAGTCATAGAATAAGGCTTATGTTCACTTTGTCATTGTAAGTAATAGCAAAGAGTACATAGCTCATTGTGTGGTGACTGTTTATTGTGCTGAAGGTTTATTTTCCTCTTCACATCTTTGGTGACTGTCTCCCACTGGTATCATCGACCAAGTCTCTCAGGCGAGATAAATGTTCTAAGGCCCTTCATAAAAAATAAAAATTACATTATAAACCAATATTGAGAAATGAACAGCCAATATAAAAAGCAAGAAATGATGATCACATTATTTAAACTTCCAAGTTACTATAAGAAAGTAAGTTACAGAAAAACAGAAAACTTTGAGAACTCATTTTTATAAACTGACATCTGAACAAGTAATAACTAATCTAAGTTAGTGTTCTATAAACATTTGCTTTAAATATAATATTCAATTTTAGTTAATCTGCTAGAGCCCAATAAAAAATAGTATCACAGGTATCAAATTTAATAAAATATTTTTCATACTTTTCCTAATATCTCTGCAAAAATAATTGTTTTCTTTTGTCATGCTATATGTACCATCTAGAAACAAGGCATGTAATTCATTTAATATTTAAGGTAGAGATAGTTTAAATCTTAAAAATATTGCTTAAAGTCAATAAAAATTCTCAGTAAAACTCATTTTTTTTTTTGAGAAGAAAAACAAGTAACTTCTCCAGTAAGGATGAATATGCATACACTTGTCAAAGTACACATTAAATAAAAGGCCACATCATCAGCTCCAAACTCTATTAACTACATGTAGAAGAATGTTCAATCCTCATCTCTTACTCTTCACAAAACAACTGCAAATACATCAAGGACCTTAGGCCCAATATTAGACTCAAGAGCCTGAGTCTGATAGAGGAGATTTAGGAATGGTACTTAAACTTACAAGCACAGGAAGAAACTTTCTGAATAGGAAAGCCCAGTAGCATAGGCATAAGGTAACAACTGACAAAATGGGACAACTACAATACTGTAGTCGCACTGCACTGTCTTCTAAGTAAAAAGGCAGCTTCCCAAGGGGGGAAAATGCAGACCAGCTGTACAGCAGACACAGGTTGTGTCCAGAATATATGAAGATTTCTAAAAAAAAAAAAAAAAAAAAAAACCTCTAAAAAAAAAAACAAAAAAAAAAAAAAACAGAAAGAAAGAGAGAAAGAAAGAAGAGAGAGAGGGGGAGGGGGTTGGGAGAGAAATAACCCAGCAACCCAATTAACACTGGGGCAGGAGCACTGGGAAGATGGCTCAGTGGTTAAAGAGCACCTGTAGTTCTTCTAGAAGATTTGGAGGATCCATTTCCCAGTACATGAATGGTGGCTCACAACCACTCATAACTCAGGGAATCCACTGCCCTCCCCTGACCTCTACAAGGGACCAGGCACAAATGTGGTACACATATACACATGCAGGCAAAACATTCATACAAATAAAATAAAAATAATAATTAGTCCACAAATAGCTTTAGTTGAAGCAGGCAATTAAAGAGTTTAATTAAACAGTTTAATTGAAGCAGGTAATTTAAAAGTTCTCAAAAGAAGAAATACAGGCAAAAGAAAGAGTATGAGGAGTAACACTAAAGACCCTGAAAACCTGTGTGGAAATCTAGTACTGTAGAATCCTAAAGTATATAATACACATATTAAAAGTTTAAATGAAATTACCCTATTACAGTGGGATAACGCCTTTCCTAAACACCATAGGCTATCAAATAGAAAGCCCACTGTCAGACATGAGTTATCTCTTTCCAAAATGTTTTTCAGTGCAGTCCCACAATCTCCCCCAAATAATACAGGCTATGACCACTATTTTTGGACACCCTCCAATATTTGATGGTAAAACCCTACTGCTGAAAACACCACATGCTTAAATCATAGAACACAGAGAAGTCAAGCTGGTACAGAGATGAAAGCTTCATCTCTACTGCCTAGTTTTCATAGTACTGAAAGAGACCATGCATGTTACTGAAGGAGAAAATTAGTTATCAATTCTACTTAGCTGTGAACCCTACAAGCTACAATAACTAGCAGCCTGGTAAGATGTGCCTCTGGTATAGCAGTGGCATGAATGTTTTGGGAGTAACTGACCACTTTCTGCTTGGATTTAAGCTGCATAGGACATAACTCCTATTTTGTCCATTATGGCCAAGACCTTCTGACTAGGTGGTCATCGGCCCTGGGGGAGAACCTACTACTCTTGTTCTTCTAATTGTGCATGGTATTACAGTGAGTCCTGATGACCCATCTCACAATCCCCATCAGAGAAGATTCTTTCTGTAGTAGATGTTGATTAACACAGAGGCCCATATCTGGCTAACATGAAGAAAGTAAAAGACTGGGGAGTGCTCAAACCTAATGAGGCATCTATATCACACCCATTCCTCCCAAGGCTCAGAGATCATGTTACCTCACATCTTCATAACCAAATGCAAACATAAAGAACCATATCGCCTTACAACAGAAACAACTTGTGGGATTCACTACATTTGTATTTAGGACAATATGACTAAGGAAGCTAAACATACCTTTCTATAAAAGTAAACACACACACACACACACACACACACACACACACACGGCATTTGTGTAGAAGTCAGAGAACAAAGTGTAGGAATTGATTTGCCCTTCCACTACATAGATTCCGAGAACTGAAATCAGATCACCAGGCTTGGCAATAAGTGCTCTTACCTACTGAACCATCTTGCCAGCCTCAGCTACATTAAATAATGATGCATTTATGACTAGATGAACTCATTTCATGGCATGTTATTGTTATAGGATATCCACATCAGTACTAAATATCTCAAATTCCTGCTTTTATTCTGAAATAAAGAGAGAATCGGACCCAGTCAGATCCATTATATTTTGTATGTCCAAGTGTATCTTTTTAGCCCTCACAGGTTTAAAAGCAAGCATTTTTTTATTTATTTTTTTATCCTGTGACAATACCGATTGAAGTTAAACAACACAACATGTTGCCACTTCACCCAAAAGTGGTGTTTTTCACTCTGCCCCTTCTTGACGGCTCAGTGGGTCACTAGCAAAAGGCCCACTGAGTGCTTTTAAAAGGTGATGCAAGCAATGTTCTTAAAAAATAATGCATTCCATGAATAAGGAAGAGACTCGATGTTGACCTCTGGTCTCTACATGCATAAGAACACGCAAAAACACTACATTTTACATTACATACCACATTTTAAAATATAGTATGTGCTACAAGAACCAAGTCTGCCTACCCAGACAGTTGTTCTGGGAACTACTGAATTCCACCCTAATTTCTGTCAAAGAATGACTAAAATGGATTTGTGTCCAAATCAGTAAATAATACTTACTTGTGAAGAGACCTAGTAATAGGAAGCATATTTTCCTTCATCTGTAATTTAGAGAAATCATCCTCTGACACCTATTAATAAACCCAAAAGAAACAAAACCACTTGAAATACTCAATTCATTGTACCAAACCATTTTTTGAAGAGTGATTAATACTTTCATTGTTGTTTCATTCCAAAACTACAACTACTTTGACTTACTGTTTAATGCTCCTAAAATATGCTTCTAAATACATGCCCATTAAGGAATCACACTGGCTTGAAATTACATCTTAACAGACAAGGTTATATGTCACTGACGTTTAAGAGAGTAAGTGAAGGACTGATTACACTGGAAAAATGACGTAGACTGTGTGATACTATGGCTGATTCACTCACATGCGATGATTATTGTAAAGCCCTACTGAATGGCAGTAACACTGATCAGGGAAATACGCCAGGCACAGAAAGTCAAACAATATGTAAGTGAGAAAGTTCTCACATATGGAATCTGAAAAGTACCATTCTTAAAGCCCTAGAGCTGGAGTTAGAGGCAGTTGTGAGCCGTCCTACATGGGTGCTGGGAGCCATATTTGGGCCTTCTATAAGAGCATGCCCTCTTAACCACTGAGCTATTTCTAATGTCACTGGACCACAGAAAAATTAAAGGCCTAGTGATGACAAATGAAATGTTGGTAAGTATATGATGTCATACTCAGAAAGGGGTAAGTTCAAGATAGCTACTGTGTAACTATAGTTGTCACAGATTTTAAATGTTCTCACCATAAAAAAATACCTATATAAGGTAGACATACAGTAATTAGTTTGATTTAGTCATTCAATAATCTATATTTATTTAATATATCATATTACATCAAAAATATCAAAATTTTGTTTGTTACTTGCTATAAGTGGCAGTTAAGAATTCACAAGTATATAAGAGAATTTAAATTCTATAGTTCTATACTTTGAAAATTCATCTGCTACATGAAACAGAAACAAGATTTTCAAAATTTATAGAAACACTCAATTTTTAAAAACTGTATTACATTTAGAAATGCTAATAAATACATAATAACAAAAATAAATTTGCTATTCTGATACAAAGGTGGAGAAGTCTAAATTAAGAACATCTTCTAGGTTTCACAGAAACTCATAGAAGCTTCTGTGTTTGTAAGAAACTACACAGATTCATTTTGTAGAACGTATAAGATGGCACTGATGCCTTTCTATACTGTAAGTGTAGCAGTAGCATCACGCACACACTGTGTTGGCATGCTCATTTACAGAAAACTACAGGTAGGTGTAAACAGATTCTGGTAAGTCTGATGTGAGTATGAATGTAGAATGATCCTACAGCTCAAGTGCTGATCCTCCACTTGTGGAATTCTTTTGGGAGGCTATAAAACGGAGTGGAGGAAGTTAATCACGGGGCCTGCCACTGAAGTTCACACTGGTCTCCACCCCCACCCCGACTCTTTCATTCTCAGCAGGCTCATGAGATGCACAGCCTCTCCCTAGTCTACTCCCTGCTGCCTTCATGTTCTGGCTCACTATGGGCCCAGAAATCAGAGGAGCCAGACTATGGACTGAAACCTAAGAAACCATAAGCCAAGATAAACCATGTTTCTGTCACATATCCCACCACTAGCATGAAGAAATAATACAACTTTAGATAAATGCATACGTCTCAATACCTAAGTTTGTGCTTACTTGCTTAATCTCTTCTTCTGGCTCTGTATTTTTCTTCTTATTAAAACTTTCTTGTACTGCCTGAAGGTTGAATAACATTTGTTTCAAGGCTTCCACAGGACCATGATGTTTGCCTCCAGATAGAGTACAGCTCTAAAGTTAATGGAAATGAGAAACTTAACCATTCAAAGAGAAAAGGAAAATAGTATATTGTGTAACATCCCTCAACATGGAATTAATGCAAAAACCAAGACATGTATTAAAATTGGTGTTTTAAAAGTCAAATCTTCTCTATCTGGCTCTTACCTAGCATCAGACCCTGCAAGCTACAATACCAGCCCCCTCAGAAAAGATGGACCTACTGGTATGCATACTATAGCATTAACTGTTATGAAATAGTGCTCTCTGATTGAATTTGAGGCATGTTCCATAGAAGGGAACTTCGTGATGTCTGGTCAGCAGCCTATAGCTAGAGGCCACAGGTCTAGGGCATAGCTTTACTAGTTGCTCTGCTAAGAGGCTGAGCTGTCCAGTTGTTTTCTAAACATTTATAGTTATAACCATAGACCTGAGCTACTCTAAGGGAAGCTTCTTTCTGTAGTGGACACTGACAGTAGTCCATGGAGAGATGCATAAATGGTTGAAATAATGAGAAAATAAGATATACACTGCCATAACTCAGACATCTATATTTGGAATATCAAGGTAAGGGAACATCAATGAAGAGGAAACAGAAGAAGGAGGTGAAGGATAGGGAGAAGTGTTGTGGTGTCTTCTGGAGCTCACAACAGCTCTGGTTACCTAGATAAGACCTACAGAAGATACATCAACCCAAAGCCCACCATAGATGGGGTAAGTGATCTCGAGGGCCCGTCCATTACTGAGGAGCAACTAGAAGTTGATAGTTGCTGGGAAAGGGATGTAGCCACTGGTAGGCTTCTCTGCTCCAGTGGACCAGGCCACACTCATCACAAAGAGGCAGCACTAACTGGATTTAGTGTGTTACAAAAACAAAACAAACAACCTAACTAACTAACTAACTAACAATAGCAAAAGAAAGCAAGACATGAAGCTGAGAGAGGGGCATGTTGAAACCATATGGGAAAACATAGAGGGTTAAAATGGGGGCAGATAAGAACATATATACACATAAAATTCTCAACGTGTGTTTTGTGTGTATATGTATGTGTGCATGTATGTGTGTGTGTGTGTGTGTGAGAGAGAGAGAGAGAAAGAGAGAGAGTTATGTGTGTGTTATGTGTGTGTGTGTGCGAGCACGCTGATTAACTACCCCAGGCATGAGGTCTGACTTGGAGTGTTGTTGATATACCTACCCAGTGTCACTCCACTGGAGAAAATTTGAATTTGAGGGTGGGGAGGTGGGAGTGGGGAAGTAGGTAGGGGCACATCCGCAGAGAAGCAGTAGGAGGGGTGATGGGATAGGGGGTTCCTGGGCGGGGGGGGGGCCAAAATAGGGTAAGGGGATAACACGTGAAATGTAAATAAAACATCCAATAAAATTAATTAATTAATTAATTAATTAAAAAAACCTCAGAAGTGATGAGATTTACATAAGAACTTGAAGCTTCAGCAAACAATTTAGTATCCAGTCAAATATCACTAACAGAATAATTAATGTTTAAGAATTTAGAAACACATCAGCCTACACAAATAACTACTCTCTGCCTTCTCTCTGCACTCCAAAATATTTGATAGACACCTCCCAGCTAGACTATTTACCACTTTGACGAAGAAGAACTGAGAGTGGCTAGACTGTGAGCAACTAAGTACAGGCAGCAGAGGCCCCTGGTGCACAACACTGGGAAGATAATACAGACAACTCTCATAGACATCCCATCCTTCTCCAATACAAGTTCAGCATCAGCACCAATCATAGGAAAGATGCCAAGAATCCTCAAGCCCAAATGGCCCTCTACCCCATATACAGAAGTAACAGTCTCCAATATCTGACAGCCCAGAAAGCAATTCTAATGTCTAATCTAATCTTCTCCCTTTTATTTTTTCCTTTTTTTTTTCTGCATGATTCTCTTTCTCTTTTTACTATTCTCTAGGTCCTAGTTTTATTTTATATCTCTATTTTTTACTCTCCTCAATATACTTACTGAGTTTCATGTATTTTATCAGTATGAGACAATTTCCTTTTTCCTTGTTGTGTTTCATGTTTCCCCTATATATTATATTTAGTACTATTTGGACTTTGTCTTATTTAAGAAAAGCTTTTAACATTTGGTGTTTTGTCTAATTTTAGTTATGAATTTTTTCATTATTGGGAAATTATGTTCATTTTTTTCATCCCTTTTATTATTTGTTAGTTTCTGGGTCTTCTCTCTTTCCTTCTAAAACATTCTCCCTCAGCCCAATCCTTAATTTTCCTGCCTTTATTTTACTTTGCTTTCTCCCCTCCCCTCACTCATTTGCCCCTCTATACCTATCTATGAGTAATTTTTGCCTTCTTAGTACATTCTACATACTAATGGGCTTTTAGTCAATCTAACCTGTATTTATCTCTGACAGTTAAACAATGTAGCTGTTATAATGGTATGTCCTCCCCTTTCACTGTTACTGCTGGGAAATGGAGGTTTCCTTGAAATTGAAACATTTCACCAGAAGGGAGATTTAAACTCATGAGACTCAAGTGTAAAAGGAAAGGTCACACATGTAGAAAGACAGAACTGGATGCAAGTCCAAGATAAATGTGATTACATGAGCATCTCTATGGCAAAAGTAAGAGAAAGCAGAGTGGGGAGGCAGAGTATGGATAGGGGAGTACTATCTAGGACCTATGCCAAACCTTACAAATCCTCCTAAAATGTGCTCCTCTATCAGTGTTCCTTTAGGAATGCCATCACCTAGCTGCTTGGCTAAACACCTTGGATTCCTTCAAGACACATCTGAAGTATGGCAATTGCTAAGCACCTTCAATGTGCCTACACGACCCAATCCACTGCCACACTGCAGCAGTCTCCCAAATGAGGTCACTGCTCCTTCTCTGGGGTCTGCTAATGTGCTCCTCACATGGAATTTTTCTGCTTCCCAGATCTCCTGGCCATGTGACAACCTTCTAACCATTCTACTGTTTGCTGCTTCTGACTCAGTCTGATAATCTTGAACATGTCAGGCATACTCAGATTTTTAGCTCAAATCATGTATCATTTCTTCAATGCATGTATATAATTTGCACTTGTAAGACATATAAACTGACTTTGTAAAATAAGGTAATAATTTAAATTATTATATGTATTACTACTGGAGAAACACAAGCCTCAGTGATCAACTGGCCTACAAAGACAGATCATTTCCCCCACAATGGTCTCCTTTATGTTTTCCAGAAAAAAAATTGCAATGACAATTCAAGCTACATGTATAAATCAACTCCAGTTTCTCATACTTTACAATATTAAAGTCCTCAGAATACTAAATCCTTGTACTTTAAAATACTAAACATCCTGAAAGTAGCTGAAGTTTGGTGGGTATGTTGGGGAAAAATGAATTTGGAAACTTTTTGTTGTTTGAGAATATTAAATAAGAGAAATCAATATGCATAATTTAACTGCAGACTTTCTTTTACTATAAACATTAACTTTACTCACCTGATTATCATCATTTAAAAAGTCCTCAAGAAACTCATTAATACATTGTGTCCTGGTACCTTGTTGAGGACTGTCATCAGCTTTAACAGGGACAGGAGATTTGCTACACAGGATTTAAAGGATACAAACAGTAATTTTAAAAGTAGGCATTATATAATTCAAAAGTTTTCCCTTAAAAACAAGTGAGGCTGTAGAGCTAGCTTAGGCACGAGTACTGGCTGCTATTGTACAGGACTCCATCCTTCTCCAGCATCCACATCTTATGGCTCATAGCCACTTGCAACAACCAGCTCCAGGGGATACAATAATCTCTTCTGGTTTCCTCAACACTGCAAAGACACACACCCACACAACCCATGTACAACATACACACATACACATGCACACTTAAAAATTTTTTAGTAGTGACAAAAAAATAAATGTCATGGATACAACTCCTATTAAAGCTGTGTATTAAGTCCTCCACCTTGTTCCTAAACTGGTATCAGAATTCAACCCTTCTGTATCCCTTCGCTTGTCATTTCCAGATTTAAAGACAGTACTTACATGAAGTAAACTACTAGTCCTCAACTGAATCCCCCAACTTTGGAAAAACTTGAAAAGCTCATCTGTTTAACACAGTACCTTTCCCAAGTAAATACAGTGAAAGTTGGAGTGTAGCTCAGTAGCAGAGTCTCAGCCAAGCATGCAGGGGACTCTGGCTTAATTCCTCCATGCCATGCATATATACCAAACAAACTATTTACCTAAGTATAACAGAAAGCTTAAAACTCAAAAGAGACTTTACTTAAATGGTAATTTTATGTTCTCCCACAAGACAACAGGACAAACCCACCTCAGAACTATTATTAATGGGGAAAAACTGAGGAAAGATTTAATTTTTAAAATCTAAACTCCACACTGAAAATTCTAATCCCAATCCCAACTCTATATGACCTTCAGTAATTTACCTGTCTAATCCTGAGTATCTACATTTATTGTTCTTATTTCAGAGATACTGTAAAATAATTCTCTATGCACCTTATGTATTTAGCACTCATTCAATAATCACTTCTTCCTTGATGTTCTGAGTAGTAAGGAATATTCATGGTAAAAATAAGAATTTTCTGAATTAAATAGTATTTACCACAAAAAAATAAAATTATCCTAGTTCTTTACTTATTATAACATATACTTATAACTTAAAAACACGATATCTAGTAATCTTTATAAAACACTTAAACATTGCATGCTAATTATTTCAAGAAGCACTTAGCTGACATATTTTACTTATAACTTGTCAGCTTTTTCTCAGTCTGGGTAGTCTTTTCCCTGACAACTCAACAATATACTTTTATATATCCATATTGAAGATACAGACCAGACACGCTCATTACACTATCCTATTTTTATTTTTAACATTTTCGCAACAAACTTGTTTAAAGAATGTTTTGTTAACTTTTATTAACTTCTACATTTTAGTGTGTATGGTATACATATGTGTGTGTGTGTTGTGTGTGTGTGTGTGTGTGTGGTGTGTGGTATGTGGTATGTGTGTATGTGTGTGCGTGGTATATGTGTATGTGTGTGTGGTATGTATGTGTATTTGGAGGGGGCATGTGTGTGGTGTGTGTGTGTGGCATGTGTATGTTTGTGTATGTGAAAGGGATGTGTGTGTATGTGTGATATGTGTGTATGTGTGTGCATGGTATATGTGCGTGGTATGTGTGGTATATGTGAATGTGTGTGGTGTATGTGTGGCATGTATATGTTTGTGTATGTGGAAGGGGATGTGTGTGTGTGGTATGCGTGTGAGTGTGTGTATGTCTGGGCCATGGTCAATGTCACATGTCTTCCTCTATTATTACCCATCTTAATTTCTGAAAGTCTTTCACTGAACTCTGGCTTTCCAATCTAACAAGACTAGTTTACCACAAAAAAAATCCAGAGGCTTCTTGTCTCTCCCTCCCCAAGCACTGGGATCACAGGTGCACACCGCCACACCCAGCTTCTTACTTGGGGGCTATAGATCCAACCTCTAGTCTGTGTGCAAGCCCCTTACCCACAGAGGCAGCTGCCCAGCATTTACATTCTCCTTTTCCTGCACTAATTTACGGCTTCCTATTTTATTCTGTTTAATCCTGGAACACCTTGCCAGTATCAGCTAAGATCTATTTACTCTTCTCAGCAATCCATCTTTTCTTTTTAAGTTCTGGGTGCAAGTTACTGGGTCAAATCATTCAGATAAAATGCAAGTCTTATGGTCTAATTGCAAACATCTACAGTAAATGCCCTGGAAAGTCCACTCCTCAGCTCCACTCTGACTTTTTTTCCTCAGTTTGGTCACGACTGTAAGGTAAGTATTGCAGCTATTCTTTTACTCACACGGATACTAACTGATTAGGAAATAGAAAAATAAAGGATGTTAAATAAGTGAGCTACTTATAAATCTTTTTTTAAAACATATTGAAGTAGCATGAGAAAACTAAAACGAGAAAATCAAGTTTTATGAACAGTCGCCAACACTACTGGATTATTTATAGATAGTTCACCCCAGTCGGAAACTAGCCTCAGTACTTCCATTTTCAAACTGAATCCTCTTAACAACTCTATGTAACTATTATCTCTCTATCTTTAAAATTTAGAGAACTTACATAGCTATCAAAGCAAGAAAGTAAGAAACGAGGATGACAGGCAGTGCTGGCATGCAAAGTATCCTACTGAGAAACAAGCAAGAGGAATCCATACACTGGAGGAGGAGGGTCGAGAACTGAGGGCCAGCCTAGGCTACAGAGCATGACACTGTCAAGAAAGACAATAGGATACAGGGATTATGAACTATAATCAACTATTAGAGCCTGAGACACAGATACTGCTTACCAAAATTGCATTTTTGTTAAGTGCAAATGTGGTATCACTAATGAAAAAACTCTTTATATAAGTTCCAGCTAATATAATACACATCTTAGGTGTGTAGGCACTTTTTGAATTATTCCAAGAAACAGTGCCATAGGAAGGTTGAGTATACAAATGAAAAGAATCCTAGGAACTAAAACAGACCATATCTCAAATGTACTGCCATCTCAGGAAAGCAGTAACAAGAGAGAAAATCAAAATGTAAACAAGACATGAATAACAGGTATTGGAAAGACAACATTTAAAAAGTAAGGCATTAAATAGCACTATTCCATTTGTAAAATAAATGTTTATGCAAGTTCCATTTTATATATATGCATATATCTTCACATATACTCATTACAGATAATTTAACACCAAAGCAAAATCAACATGCAGCATGTATTTTATGGAAGCACATGAAACATCGTATCATCTTATAGAAGCAAATGAAAACTGCATCCTAAGCAATATGAAAATAGATCATAGCACCACTAATTATTAAGTTATATGGACAGCACATCTGATGTTGACATAATACTTTTACATTTGGTACACTAAACAGTGTCACTTACTTACAAAGTAACAGGGACATTTTCCCATGTTCGTTCTGCTTCAAGTTTATCTAAGGAGCAAGGACTGTCATCCTTTTCCACAGGCTTTGGTAAGTCTTTAGTAGAGTGTTGGAGATTCTTCTTAGCCTTCAGGATAAGCAATTCAATTTTGTCACCTAATTTTAAAAACACTCTTTAAGAAAAAAATAGAAACCTCAAAATCTCTCATAGTCAACAGGAAGTAAAACATTGGGAATGTACACGTCTATAACAACAAATTAGGATAAAGTGTGATAATTTAAGCAAGGAAAACGGAAATAAAGGCTTTAATAGCTTTAAAATATTAAAGATCATATGTATTCTAAACCTTATTACATGGTAAAACTTCTACAGAGTATATTACATTTTAACACATCCTTTGTTTTAAAATAAAAAACTAGAAACAAAATATTACCACAGAATGGCTTTTGGGATGGTCCTGGGAGAAGTGGATTGTCACACTGACAATGAAATTCATTACCTAATCCTTTACACTCACTGAAGGAATCTGTAAAGTTTGAAGGTTTAAAAGAGCATTCAAAACAATCTACTTTATTTAAAAGCTGAGTTGTTCTTTGTGTTTGGTAACTTTGTTTAGGGCAATATTCATCTTCGTTAAATAATTTATAAACCCTTGGAGCATTTGCATCAGGTAGCAAGTCTTCATTATGGAGCCAAATTGGATACTTAAAATCAGGTATACTAGTTACCCCTGAGACATTAAGGTCAGATTTCTGGCTAGTGAGCCATCTTGGATAATTCTTTTCAAAACTGTGCTCTGAACTGTCCTTGAAAGATGATTCTTTAGGAAAAGATAAAGATGATTCTGAAACACATTTATTTTTTCTATTAATAGGTTTTGGGGTTCTGGGCCTACTACATTTCTTTCCATTTATATTTGTATATACATAAGGAGGAACTATATTATCCCTGCTCTTGGGAGTAGGGTCTACATAAAAACTTGGACTATTTTTAACGTCCAATGAATCCTGTCTTCCAGTGTATTTCTTGTTTTTCTTGTTTTGTTGGTGATCAGGTGTAACGTAAGTGAAGGAAAAGCATCCGTCTGCTGGAAGTCTTAACAAATCATCAGTTGTTAGGCTAATGGAGTCCATGTCATTAATAGTCTCTCTTCTATAGTATAAGGGGTTAAGGTGCTGCTTGCGATCAAGATTTTCAAAAGCTGAAAAACAAAGCAGAGTTCTGTTGATTTTTATCATATATAATAGTCAACAGTAAATGTGAGTTAAAAATTTAGGAATTATTTTGGTGCTTCCCCGTTATCATTAGTTTTGAATACAAATCTTAAACGTATAAACTGGTAAATATAACACATGCTTTTTCACACCTCTTCAGTATTTAATTTCTATATGTAGCATTAATCAGCTAAATGTGTATTCTCTCTCAGTTTCTTCAACTTTCTCCACCCAGATATACCTTTTACATTAATACAATCACAGTAAGCAGCAGAGAAAAGTATACTATTAAAGTAGGTGGAAAGACAATTTGCTGAAGGCTTTATTAAAGACAAACTTTTAGTATGTTATGACTATTATTCCACAGAATACAGATGATAAAAAAAATACTACTACTTCACCAGCTGAAATTGAGCAAATATAAACTCAGAAAGATTGGGATTATTTAATAGCTTGTTAACACACATTCTCAATACTCTTTCTATCCTGCCACAGAAAAATGGCTGCAGAGTTTAGGCTCAGCCACTTTCTACTGTTAATTATATTTACCTGTGTCCTCTCCAAGGGCAAAAGATCTTAGCAAAAAACTCCTGGGATCATGACAAGTAGACAATCCATTTTACAAAATATCAAGACTTCAGCAATATAAGTTCTTTTTTTTTTCAAAATAACAAAAAGGTCCAACATTCTAAGGCATATCTCTCAAATATGTTAAATCACTGGACATAAAAGTGTTCAAACAAGCATAAAGAATAAAGCATACCATTGTTTGGTGTATGCACGTAGCTGGAAAATTGTGGCCCATTAACAACCTCACCATCAATGTTTACTTTGACAGTGTTTGCACTAGGATGTTCTCTGCTTAGGTCAAAATCATCAATGTAGGCCTGCAGAGCCTCAGAAGCAGAACTGTACAGTTGGTCCTTATACAGAAACGAGCTGTCGGAATTGGAGGAACTACTACCACTTAGGCTGCAGCTTGCCAGGAGAGAAGACACTGAAGATTCTCGAGAACAAACTCTGTGTTTTGTATTTAATTTTGCCATGGCTTTCTCAAAATGAATTATTCATTTCCATTTAATACTGGAACATAGAAACAAAAAGTGACAGTGCCAATGAATAATGATAGGCAATACAAGTTATTAAATATGTAAACAAGGTTTTTCAGGATGAAAATTACTTATTGATAAATAATCTTGCAGAACCACTGTAAGTTTCCTATTATCTTTACTATTTCATGAATGATTTAGGAAAACATTTGAGAACCTACTATGTGCTTGGAGATATACAGATAAAAATTATCTGCCAATATACAGTGAATACCAAGTAAAAGGTACTTTTTCTTCAAAGTCCTAAAAGCTACTATGGACAGTTCTTTATTATGGTGATGTATTTTATGACATCACAATAGGTACCATTTTCCAATAGGTACTATTTTTAAGTCTTATAAGCCTACTGCCATGCATTAAAGATAGATGGCAATCAATTTTCAAATCATTAAAGCATTAGAAATAAGTATCAATATGAAACTTTAGCCAAAAATAAATAACTTTAGAAAACAAAGTAATATCTACAAGAAAGAAAAACTAAAATTTTTATTTCAGAATAGGCTAGCTATAAGCCTTTTACAAAAAAATGTTAAGAATCTCTTCATCTTCATTTTTCATATCCTCAGTACATTTTAATTTTTAAAAATCTTACATGCATGGGTATTGTGCCTACATTTATGTCTATGTACTATATGTATGCCTGACAGCCGGGGAGGTCAGAAAAGGGCTGCATATCCTATGAAAATGCTATTACAGAATATTATGAGTCAACATGTGGGTGCCAGGATTGAACCTGGGTCCTCTGGAAAAGCAGCCAGTGCTCTTAACCACTGTATTTCTCCGTCTCCTGTAGTTTTAATTCTTAAAAAGTTTCACCTTCTTAAAAAAGCTTAACTCATTTGGAAATTCATTCAATGTAATCAGCTTTATGTTTTCTTAGTAAAATTGAGAGAGCTTTTAGCACAGTAGTAATATCTACTTTTGTAAACAAGAAATAATGGGATAGACATGTATTAATTTAGGGCATAATAGTCATTGAGAATTGAAGGATTCCCTGTACTAAAAACCTTCACACATAGGTTGTGAGGCATGCTACAATGTTGCAATGCCAATAGTTCAATTCTGGTTGTAATTTTGCAAATGTTTTGTTTGATGTGACAATTAGCAATGTCAAATTTGACCTTAAAATTAACAAATGTTCTAATTAAGGAGACAGAGCTGTAGTAGCATCAGTCTATCTTCCCAAAGCTCTGGGGCTGTGGGAGAAGGTAGCATTGGTAGTGACAGCAGAATGTAAGAGAAAGCTCTTCTCCATTCCTGAAGGCTCTGTTATTGGGTTTTCTCTAAAGAATAATTGGACAAAGTCAATTTTATGCTTTCTTTATCTTTCTTACGAATCTTCAAATTAGTTCAACTAAATCTGCTTGGATTATGTTTTACATCACAAATCAGGATGCCAATTTTACTTTACAAAACATTAAGCACAAGCAACATCTTCAAAGAGAGAGCTGTAGGTTGGATTTGGTTCTTGAGAGGGGCAGAGTTATCTCCTTTTACGTGACAAGAAAGAAAACTCCTAATTCTTTTGGAAAGTTTCAAGTCCATACAGAAGCAAAAAGTTTAAGAAACCCCTGTACCTACCCTGCTTCTAACAACTATCAACAAATTTAAACTGTTTATGACACCCTCCCATTTCAGTCACAAGACAGTCAGTTCCCAATTACATATATTTTAAGAAAATACCATATATCTTACCATTCCCTTCGAAAGCGCCGGTTTCAATCTCCCAAATTAAATCCATCATCGTGTTGAATGATAAAAGTTAGGGCAAGAAATTTCAACTACCTCGATTCAAAACACAGAGGGCCGTGTCAAAAAGAGTGTCCGGGAGATGAACGCTCTGGAAGAGAAGCCCAACCCTTGGAAAACGCTGCTCTGGTTTCTCCTGCAAAGGGGAGCATCGAAGGCTCTGGAACACTGATTTTGGCAGGCCTTGGCTGCAAAGACTTGGGCCATCCGTGTGTGCTGGGTGTGGCTGTCCGGCTGGCTCCCGGGTGGCAGTTTCCCTGTGCGTGCGGACACAGACATGGCCTTGGATAAGGACATTCATCCCGCAGCAGCCGGGGCTGCAGTGGACGCTGAGTGACAACGGCCCCCGCACCCGCAAGCGTCGTCTGGGCCCCTCGGGTCACCGCACCCCGGGACGCCCCTACTCTTCTTCCATACACTGCCCTCCCTGGGAGGATTTCCCCCCTCAGTCCCACCGCCCAGCATCCGCATCTCCCTCCAGCTGCGGAAGGATGCGGCGTCCTCGCAGATGGCTCACCGGGACACTTTTTTTAAAAGCGCGCTCTTTCAGACTCTCGGCGGAGAGCCCAAGCCCTTCCCAAACCGGACGACGGGACAAAGCATCCCCGATCGCGACACCGCCCTCCTCAGGACCGCTATTTCCTCCGCCACCGCAGGAAGGAGAGACGCCCGCGCTCGCTTTCAAACCGACCCAACATGGCGCCGGGCCGCAGGGCGCATGCGTAGAACCAGGCGCCGGGAAAGGGGGGGGTGTCTCGAGAGCCCCGCGAAGAGTTCAGAGGTCAAAGGGCGTTGAGGGGCGTTAGGTCGCCGTCCTCGGGGGAGGTGGGGTTTCTATTTTCTCTTTTCTCTTGTGTCGGGTGGTAAGGTTCTAGACTCTATCCGTAACCCATGCTGTCTTCATCCAGGCCACTGCTCTTCCCGGCGCAATTAGCAGGCTGGGCTTCCCGGGCTGTGGGAGGGAACCGTGCAATAGAAGAGTTGGAGGCGCCCTCAGATGCGGGACCCTTCTCTGAGAGCTACATCCACAGACCAGTTCTTTTCCAGTGAGCTTTGCACAGCTTCAGAGCAATCTCCCCTCCTTCCCCCCCCCCCCCCCCTCCATCCCAGATAGGTAGCAATTCCGCCAGAGTCACTCTGTTCACCTCGGTGCCATCCCCATCACGCCCCAGAACCCTGACCCTCCCGGGCTTCCACTCATCTCCAACACCCTGCAGATTCAGGACTTAGGAAGGAAGTCTGACTGACCTGTGACGGGATTTAACAAACTCTTTGGGAATTTTGGTTCCCAGGAAAGAATGGCAGTGAGCCAAAGCGCGTTAGGGACCCAGTCAGGCAGCACAGAAAGCAGGAAATTATAAAAACATAAAGATCACTAACTTATGTGACCCTGTCTACCAGGCTGGGACTGGATATGAAGTGGGAAGAAACAAGTTGCAACCAAGTGCTATGTCAAAAAAAGACGCTAGCTCAACAATGGTCTGTTTTCCACTGACCCTATGGCTGAAGACACCCTTGACTTTCATCTGAACACATTCTGGTTCATCCAATGTTACATCATCAGGTAATAGAACTATAACTTTGCTGTGTCCTGTAACTTTGTACTCTCTCTAGCCTTCTAAACTTTACCTTCCTGTTGCTCTTAGCAAAATTGGCAGACGCTATAAAACACCATTCAGTAGTTCATTAAACACACATCTATTATGGAATTTGAAATGATTCTAAATTAATTATACAACCCATGCTGAAACTTACACCTAGTGATAAATGTGTGAAATTTTCTGATCAATATTAGGTAAGTCAGTGATAGATAAAACCCTGTGTTTTATGCTAGGAGAGGACCATGTTGGAGACCAGCCAAACAATGTTTATGCCATGATCTTAAAAGCAAAACAAAAACCTAGCCTTTTTTTTCTTTTTAAGCCTAAGTTTCATCTAGGTATCTTTTTGACCTATCCTTTTTAAAGGTTTTCAAAGTTTCTTGGGATGTAGCTCAGTGGTAGAACACTTGCTTAATATGATAAATTCAATCCTCATAGTGGAAAAAAAAAGTTTTTTTAAACTACCCAGTAATGGTTTCAATAAGAATGGCCCCATAGGCTCGGGTGTTGGAATACTTGGTCTCCACTTGGTAGAACCGTTTGGGAAGAATTAGGAGGTATGGTCTTGATGGAGGAGGTGTGTCACTGAGGTGTGTGGGTTTTGAGACATGAAAAGGCTGTGCCATTTCCTCTGTGTGTGTCTGTCTGTCTCCAACTTGCAAATCAAGATGTAAGCTCTCAGTAGTTCTTGCTACCATGCCTTCGCTCTGTCATGATGGACTCTAATCCTCTGAAACCATAAACCCCAAATCAAATGGTTTCTTTGATAAGTGGCCTTGGTCACAGCAATAGAACAGTAAGATGTACCTATTACTTCCACCTTAGAAGTGTGTTTTTTCAACAAAGGTTTAAAGTGTTCATGGAGGGAATATAATAGAATTAATAAAATATGTTAACCTAAGTTGTGCATCAAAATAACTTCCATTTTATTCCCTTACAGGTTAACAGATATGGAGATCTCCTCTAGGATTTGGAGAACAGTATCAATGGGCACTAAAATTCTTGACTAGATTTGAGAAAGGTAAAAATACCAGGACTTTTATAGGAAAGGGGACTCTGTAATATTATACTGTGGATTTTTTTTTCAATCTAAAAGCTATCACCTAGTTATTGTGCCTTTCTGGGAAGCCAAGGAAGAGCATATAAACTTATGCCCAATCTGAAGCGTGTTAGGAGAGAGCTAAGGATTTCTAAATGTTATGATATTTATGTGTTAAGATGTGTTAAGGTGCTTAGGGGATAGTTAGAAACTAACCCTACTGACCACCCTGAACAAAAGCCCTCACTGCATCAAGGATTTTTGAATGTAATAGCTCTCGTAAGTTTTGTGGACCTCCCATGAGTATCATGAGCTCCTTCCTATAAACGTGGGAAGTTGAAGTTCAGAGCCTAAGCACTTAGCAACTTGTGGTGTCAGAGTCTGGATTTGTATCCAGATGTTACTATGTTCTTTGTAACATCTACTCAGTTGCCCATAACTGAAAAGTGGGTGATGGGCGGAAGCACCATGATACCCCAGCCGACATCTGAACACATTCCTAACAGACACAGGATTTTTTGTTGTTGTTGTTTTGGTTTTGTTTCGTTTTGCTTTGTTTTTGCTATACTTACCACAGTACTCAGTCCCCTTGGGGTACTACTACATATTACCATAGACTAGGTGATTTATAAAGAGCAAAAGTTTAGTTTTCATACTCATGGAGGCTATAAGTCTGACCCACATGCCATAAGGTTTGGTTTCTGATCAGGGCACCTTTCTAGTATATAGACTGCTTTTTATGGCTGTGTTCTCAGGGCAGAGGAGATAAATAAGCTGCCTGCAGTCTCTTATAAAGACACCAATCTCATTGGTGAGGTCTCTGCCCTCATGACCTAATCACGAACCAGTTTTAGTCTGTGACTGTGGAGGAAGGAAAACAGTCATTTGCAGTACTTAGCAGCAAGGAAAGATTTAGTAAATGTCTCTAAACTGAATTACTTTGAATCTGATCTTGTCTGAATGGTTGACATTTAAGCAAAGGATCCGATGAAGCATAATCTATCATGGGTTTTCCAAGGAAAAGAACAGTAAGGACAAAGACCTTGAGACAGGGCAGTTCTTGGTTGTACCTGAGGAAAATCCCGGAGATTGATATGATTGTGCCTAAGTGGACAAGAAGATAGCTGACAGGAACATGCTTGGAGAGGAAACCATATATGGCCTCAGCCACTCAAGGTTAATGCCAGGAGCACATGACAAAAGAGTGTGACACATCATAGGGGAAAAACTTGTTAGAAATAATGGCTTTTGGAAAACTAGAACCTGCCATGCTCTGGACCTTCATCAGCCCATTTAAGGTATTACTTAACACTTTGACACTGCAGGGTCTTTGGTATATTCTAATTTTTACATCAAGAAAAAAGTAGGAATATTACATATCATGCTTCACACATGCCAGGGATCAGACTTCACTAGGGTGTCCCTGATTTCAAAATCTGCCTTTTTACATCCTTGCACATTTTCTCATTTGAAGACAGAGGTTTGTGAATGCAAGTGATCAGATAATTATTATGCATTGCTAAATAACAGATGTTTTCTAATATACATATAGTATTAAAGTGTATTGTTGGACACCTATTGTACCAATCACTTGACAGACTGGGGCTTCAGTTCATGAGTTCATGCAACATGGACTTTTGTTTGTTTGTTTATAAAATTAAATTTTACAATCCTTGTTAAATTTTCACAGGTAGATGGACTATAAGGCAATTGCCCAACAAACTGCTGAACAAGTTCTAGCTTACAATCAAGACATATATGGTTGGAAAGTCGTTAAATCTGCAGTAAGAAAACAAGTATTTTTCAAGAGTTTATTTTTCAGTGAAAGTTTACTGTAAAGATGTTTTAAAATAATATGTTCTTTTTTAAGCCAGAAAAACATAATTTTACTTTTGTTTTGTTTTTGGTTTGGTTTGGTTTGGTTTCTATGTCTGACAGTTAATTTATTTCTGGATTTTATTTCCCCTTTGAGAAAAAGGTAACTGTTTCCAGCAAGGCATCTAGAATATTCCACGGAAACCTGTGAGTACATTTTCCCACTTACAGTCATTGTTTTAAACTCAGTGCCATTACCAAATCTGGAAGTTAATACCACTTCATTAAGTAGAACAAACTATTTAATACTAACCAGAAAGTGATGCATGAAATCATGTGCTTTCATAATGTAGAGTAATCATGTGTTGTGCAGCAATTTCCAGACAAATAAGTACAGTCAGAAGGTAAAGCCTTTGCAGATTTAGAACACTTCACTGGAATGCACAAGATCCTAGATCTAAACACTAGAAAACTATGTCTATGTATGCAAAGAAGGTCCTAATTCACTAGGATAAAAAAAGTTTTGCAAAAGCAAATTGACATTTCTTGCCAACAGTAACATTTTTATGATGCTTGGAATCCTTCACTTTTCTCTCAAACCACTAAAAAGATTTTCCCCTTCAGTTTTTTTCTCTTACTCATGAATGCAAATTTTTCCCTATAAATTGCTTTTTAAGCATGACATTGAGAATCAGACTGTTTCAAATACAACTAAAGTGTTTGTAAAATGAACACCCTGACATATTTTAAGTGTTTTTGTCTTGTTTTTATCTTATTTTGGTTTTAGGGGTTCATTTATAGCTCTTGGTATCACATCTGTTCCCTTGGGTCATTGAATTATGGAGAAAACCTTGGCCAGTTTTTTAGAAATTGCTCCTTTGAAATCCTTTACTTTGCACATCTGGCTGTTGGTGTGGTTTTTGTGGTTGTTGTTTTCTGTTTGGTTTTCATCTTTCTGAAGTTTACCTGTGTTTATATCCCAATTTTTGTGAGTTTGTTGTTGTTGTTGTTTGCTTTTTTGGAGATAGGTCTCACACAGCTTTTCCTGCTTTAGCCTCCTGCGTGCCGTTTTTTAAAAAAAAATAATAAAGATGGAATGAGTTTGTCTTATTTATTTTAATACATTCCAAGAATGTAATTCTTTCTTCTGTTGTCTAAGCAATAGATGACCCTAATAATGGTAATTCATAAAAATAAACGTGTGTGTAGAGGTATATTTAAGCCCAGGCATACTAGAGAAATA